TTTTTTTGGTACCAGAGATCACACTCGGGACCTTGTGCTTTTGAGGCAGGCAGCAGAATTACTGAGCTAAATCCCCAGCCATAGACTGCTAAATTTTAAGAGCACAAGGATCTTTTTTGTGCATTGTTCTATCCCTAGTTGCTGTGATAAAAATTAATATGTAATAGATGGTTAACAAATATTTCTTGATTGAATTAATAAAGGAATTAAAAGTAAGATGATCACTGTGGGAAGAGATGGTAGTAAATAAAGCCACAGTGCTATCTTCAAAGAAAAGAACTGATGAAATCATAGAGAAAAATTATTGTAGTCAAATTTTGGACGAGGAAGTTCAGTTACATTTATGGAGGAGGCATATCAGTACAATAGAAAAAAGAAGAGAAGTAATGCATTAAGTAAGATGTTTAAAATTTGCTACAGGCACAGTTATCTCTAGTAAAGTTAGTCATTGCTATGTTTGAGAAAGGCTTTTGTAATTTCCTTGCAAACTGCAGATAAGTATTAACATATATTAAGTATTTATTTACTACTTAAAATATGCCAGATTATCTAGGCTATCAAAATTGAAAATAAAGGACAACTAGTGGATAGAAACTATGTGAAACAAAGAATCAGTGACATTGAATTATGAACTAATCCCAGAGGCTAACAAGTGGTGGATAAGTAAAACACAAATTACCTGTTTAATTATGATTTTTGGCTTTATGACTAAAGTTAACTAAGCAATTGCACTACATAACATACTTGGCTTTTAATACGGATGTGGCTCTTTGAGCATTCAGGTTTATTCATGATCCAAAAATTTTTGAGGATTAGTTACAGTATGACCTAGAGTCAAGATTGATAATGATATAGGAAGTAGGGAGAGATTACTCTAGGTAATAGTTATTATCAAAAGCTTAAAATATCTTGCATTCATTTTAAAGGAATATTACTATAATATCACCAATATGTAAAGGTGTACCCTTCTATAATTAGATATTTAGTATTTCTTAAGGGAAAGAAACAATTTTAGATAACATATGTCAATTATTAATCAAATTACCAATTACTTTTAACTGTAATCAACTTCATTAGGAAAAATAAGATATATAATTAAATTTTTTATAGTTAAATTTAAGATTAATCTTATTCTGAGTATGCTTGCAGTGGAAACCAACTAGAAATCTACTCACCTTCTTCATTTCCTGAAACAATGGAATATACAATGCTCTGATTGATAGCTGCAGCAGAAATTATACCGACCATGGTCCCTCTGGTTGCAAGTTCACTTACTGGAGGAGGTCTGCAAGTTTAGAGAAAATGATTTAATTATTTTAAGGCTATTTTAATGAAAACATTTAATTCAGACAGAGCTAGAAATATAAGAGATTTTTCATATACTTTCTGCTTCCACATATACATAACTTTCTCCATTAATGACACATCTTATTACAGTGATACATCTGTGACAATGAGTAAACCTAAATCAGCAAGCCATAATAATCTCATGTCTATGGTTTACATTAGTGTTCACTTTTGGGGTTGTATGTTGCAGAAGTTTGGACAGATGTCAGGTGTTTACCATTGTAGTCTCAAACAGAATATTTCACTGCCCTAAAATTTTCGTGTACTCCATTTATTCACCCCATCCAGTCCCTGAAAGTCACCTATCTTTTTACTTTGTTCAGAGTTTTGCCTTTTCCATATTCTCATATATTTGGAATCATATAGTAAGTTGCCTTCTCAAATTGCCTTCTTTCCCTCAGTAATAGGCACAGAAATTTTCTCCATGTCATTCATGACTTGACACCTAATTTGTTTTAATGCGGATCAGTATTCTATTGTCTGTATATACCACTATTTATTTTCTCTTTTTTTTTTTTTTTGGTATCAGGGATCGAACTTGGGTCCTTGTGCTTGCAAGGCAAGTGGCAGAACCACTGAGCTAAATTCCCAGCCCACCACCGTTTATTTTCATAAAGAAAGACACCTACGTTACATCTGAGTTTTGAAATTTTGAATAATGCTGCTATAGTTATTCATGCTTAGATTTTTGTGTGGCCATGAATTTTCAATTCCTTTGAGTAAATTCTAATGATCATGATTGCTAGATTCTGTTGTTCCTTATTCTTGCCAATATTTGGTGCTGTTAGTGTTCTGAATTTTGGCCATTCTAAAAGATGTGTAGTGGTATTTATGTATTTTGATACAAATTTGAACTAAATAATAGAATTGCTTAGGGTTTATATGTGAATGTGTATTTGAACAATACTAGTGTCTGGGGCTTTTAAGTATATTTCACATTTAAATTTCATTTCTAACAAACTATGTTCAAAATTATGTAAGTAGTTTTGGTTAGAATGTCTTTTTTATCTACCGTATTTTTAATTCAAATGGAGCATAGTATTACTCTATCATCTGCATGTTATATACAAAATTCTTCTCATTTTTCTTCAATGTATCTTCTGGACTGAAATGAGTAGAAGATACAATGTGATAACTCAACTTGCTAGAATAAAACATTGCTCTTATGTTCTTTCTTGAATATATTTTAGTAAATGGACCCAAGATACTTTTTTTCAAGTCTTTATTCCTGTCTTATTATAAAGCTATAAATGTATCAAAAGTATTTATATGGGTGTCATCAAAAAAATTCATATTACCTTTCAACTCACTGACTTTGTTTTACTGTATTCATGTTATGTACCAAGTACTATGATATCTACCTGTCTTAAAAAGTACATTTTCAGTAATGTATTATTTTATTTTCTAAATTGTAGTTTTATTTTACATTGCTTTTCATAAGTAGACTATCATGAATTTATCTTCATAAATTTATGTCAAGCAATCTTTTTTATAATTCATAGGTAATTATGTCATCCATCTCAAATAAACTTAGAAAAATATAAAATACAAGATCTTAGTAACATTTATGCTTCTTTTTCTATTCCATTAACTACAACCCATTTGATATCTGTGAACTTTCTCACTGGTCTGTCTTATAAGAAATTAAAATTTCTTATAAGAAATCTGGAAATTCTTCTACATGGCCCTTTCAACACTTAATTCTTTGTTATATGATTTCTCATTTCACTTTCCATCCTTTGAGTTATTCCAATGTAGATTACATTGTGCAGTTTTTTTTTTCTTTCATCAAGCTTTCCATAAAACCCTTCTGTAACATATTTTAAACTTAGAAATAAAGTCTAGAAAATTAACTACATATGAACATTTATAAACACTTGTCCAAATTGCTTAGTTTTTGTGCATGATTAACTCCATTTCTTAAATGTAAATCAATCTCTGAAGCTTAGAAGTGAATCCTTTTCCAGGCCCTCAGTGAGACTGTCCTTGGCCAAAACTTTCATTAAAGTCTTCTATGGGACCATGAAGCAGAGGACGCATCTACCCCATGACTGTATTTCTGGCCTACAGAAACTTCCAGTAAGAGTGTAGTTCTAACCCATTGAACTTGTGATTATGTGGCTAAACAGTAGTCAATTTATATGATACTGGAATGATAAGCTGGTAATTTAAACACCTACTGTTACTAAAAAGCTGGATATTAGTAAATGAACCAGGCACAGTGGTGCATTCTTGAAGTATTAGATACTTGAGAGGCTGAGGCAAAAAGATCAGTAATTGGAGGCTGGTCAACAACTTAGTGAGACCTTGTCTCAAAAAACTATATATCAACAAGGCATATCAAAAACATGGTGAATACTTAAATAAAAAATTTATTAGGGTAAGATAAATCCCCATTAGTCCCCTTCAAATCACTCATTGTTCTTGACATTTTCTGAATCAGTTCAAGAAGTCCTCCTTTTGTGAGTTATGAAGTGTTATTAATAAATACAATGAATGCTACTGCCAAATGCCATCCAGTGGAAAGGCTGACTTGTAGAAGTATTACAGTGTCTACTCATCTAAGTTATTCACTGGATCTGGTACTGTGAGACTTCTGACTCTTGGCCAAAGTCAAAGTGACCATGAAAGGTAAATGTTTTAAATAATTCTGGACATCAAGGTAGCTAAGACAGTGCAACTAAAGATATTCACAGAAATGAACTTCTAGAATTGCTTCTGAAAGTGGCAAGGAGAATTCCATAGTGTTTTCAAAGCAAGTGGGAGTATTTTCAGGGAGATTAATGGCAATGTGCCTTTTTTATTTTGGTGGTGGTTGTACCGGAAATCAAACTCAGGACCTTGCTCTTGCAAGGCAGGCATGGTGCCACTGAGCTAAATTCCCTGCCCAACAATGTCCCTTTTACTGTAATTTTTAAAAAATTTATGCATTCACTGTAGTTTTCGATCATATATATATATATATATATATATATATATATAAAAAGATTGGCACAAGATCTTGTGTTCAGTCCCTAGTACCACAAAGAAAACAAAAGAAAAGTATAGTTATGGTTTATGCCTTGATTTCACCCTATAGCCTCATGTGCTTATAGGTAGGGATTTGGGGAGGTGATTGGAACATGGGGATGTGATATTTATCAGTAGATCAGTCCACTGATGACTTTATAGCCAAATGTGATTTGAGAGGTAAAGCCTGGAAGCATCTATATCCTTCCCTCTTCTGCTTCTCATCAACATGCCATGAGTTCTTTTTCCTCTGCCATGCTGCCTTGTCTTGGAGGCAGCCAACTATAAACTGAAATCTCTAGAGACTGTAAGTGAAAATAAACCTTTCCACCTTTAATTTGTGGATGTGAGTATTTTGTCTCAGACACAAGGAAAATAACTAAGGCAAACATGTTATATTCTGAGATAATTTTTAAAAATTGATCTTCTTTGTGTAGGAAATAAACATTAAGTTCATCTATTTTGTTATATGAGATAAGCTAGCTTTTATTATTTCCATAATCTGTTTCTTCTCTTTGTCTTTATAAAGTTTATAAATATGAAGGTTGCAACTAATATATCTTTAGATTTAACATTAGGAAAATGCTTTAAGTATTTTTAGAAAGCCAGGCATGGTAGTACATGCCTGTAATCCCAGCACTTGGGTGACTATGGCAGGAGGATCACTGTGAGTTCAAGGCAAGTCTAAATGACACAGTGAAACCCATCTCAGAAACAAAACAAACAAATTATACATATATGAATTTAAAATAACTTTTTTGTTCATTTTTACTAACTACTATGCACAATCAGAATAGCCAATAATTAATATGAGAAAATTAAGCTGTCGTAATTTAAGAAGAAATTTAACTCCATTTTATTTAAAAAAAACACATTGTCTTTATCCAGTCACCAGTTGATGGGCAGGTGGGCTGTTTCTGAGTTTTAGCTATATGTGTATACATATATGTATATACATGTGTAAACATGTAATACATGCAATACATGTATACATATATAAACATGTATATACATACATACATATATATATACACACACACACAAACTGTGCTGCTATAAACACAGGTGTGCATATATGTGGTATGATTCTTTTAATTCTTTTGGGAAGATACTCAGCAGGTGAATCGTTGGATCAAATGAGATCTTTAATACTAGCTTTTTGAAGTATATGCACACTGATTTTCACAGTGGTTGCACCAGTCTACACTCTCATCAGCAGTAGAACAAGGTTCCTTTTTCCCCACAGCCCAGCCAGCATTTGCTATTGGTTGATGTCTTGATAGTAGCCATTCTTTCTGGAATGAAGTAGAATCTCAGTGTTTTCATTTGACTCTCTTGGATGACAAGTGATGTTAAACATTTTTTCACAGGTTTATTTGCTGTTTCTAATTCTTTGTCTGAGAAATATCTATTCATTTCAGATGCCCATTTTTGGAATGGATCTGTAAACTTGGAAGGTCTGATTTGTGTAAGCTCTTTATATATTCTAGATAGAACTTTGTCTGAGGAACAGCTGGTAAAAATTTTTTCCCACATTGTCTGTTGTCTCTTCATGCTGTTGGTGGTTTCTCTTGCTGTGTAGAAACTTTTCAATAAGATGAGATCTCAGTTATTGATTCTTTGTGCTAGTTCACATGAAACTGAGGTTTTGTTCATGAAGTCTTCCTACAACAATGTCTTCAAGGGTTCTACCTAACCTCTCTTCCAGCCGGTTTAGTGTTTCTGTTTTAATATTTACATCTTCTATGTATTTCAATTTTAGTTTAGTGCATGGTAAGAGATATAGGTCAAGTTTTAATCTTGGGCAAGTTGAAACCCAATTTTTCCAGCACCTTTTATTAAAGAGGCTATCTTTCCCCCAGTGAGAGTGTTTGGCAACTTTATTGAGGATGAGCTAGCTGAGTGTGTCTGGAGTTGTTTCTGCATCTT